ATATAAACAACCCTGTCAGAGTTTACAGTCACACTAAACATGACGATGCAAGTTTTGTAAATTACACATCTGCCCACGCATATGCTCATACCAATATAACTACTGTAATAAAGTAATAACAGCCACGTAGTATTCCGGTGATGTGAAAAATCTAACAATGACTGCTCTGTGCCGAAAAGTCAAAAGAGAGTGGGCGAGTGAGAAACTAAACTGAAAAACTTTATTCCATCCTTTTTCTTCTTCGCTCAGTAAATTAGAAGCTACAGCAGATAAAACTCTCTCGGTGGTAATCAGGTAGCCGACAAGCCCAGATAATAGCGGGCCAACTGCTTCTGCTTTAGATAGTGGTAAGATCTGTTCCACTGCACATGTGGATCCGTGTTAATTAGAAGATGGAGCTTATTTAAAAGGTGCTTAAGCCTCTGTTTTAGCAAAGCTGTCCCAAAACACCACTTTTTTTTGCTTAAACATTTAAATATCAGGTATGATTAAAAAATAATTTGGAACTACTGACAGCAACAAACCTTTTCTACAGCAGAAATTTTGACTTGCCATAGCAGGATAAGTACGGGTATTATCACATTTATCACAGCTCTGTTCTATTCAAATGCCAGCAGCGAGACAGCGACCCTGAAACTGAAGCAGCTAAATAGAATTCAGCCATTATTAGTCTCCGTAGCCAGACCTATCTTTACAGCGTTATGTCAGTGCTGGAGAACAATCTGGATGCACCCCATTATCATTCTGTCACAGAGGGGAAAAGAAAGACAAAAAGCTCTGGCTTGTTTGTATTTCTTTAAACCGATTACAGTCATCTTGAACAATGGTGAGCCCAGGATGTAGCAACGGTGCCCCTGTTATATAATGATAGGGGAATTATTGCTTATGGAGGCAAGCACTTTCGCTAAAATGGCTAATTCACAAATAAATTTAAAAAAAACAAGCAGGGCTGCCTCACTGAATGGTTCAGATCGTTGCCAAAATTTCAGTGTAGCTTTAGTAAAAGGGGATTTTTGGAACGTTAACATACAGATAGAGAAAGGGCAGGAAAAAGCCACGTGAAATGTGCAAAGGAAACAGCAGGCTTAGACTGAAACTTACATCCCATGTGTCAGACAAAGCCCTAATGATGTCTTTCACGGTGCAAAGGAAGGTGAAATTGTTACTAATAACCTGCTCAGATTGTGATATTTTGTCTGGGATTTGTCTGAAAACATGCCGTTGTCTCGAGGTTGAGAATTTGGGGAAAAAAATCATAATGTTTAATCATATTTAAAAGCCACATTGCCTGAAACTACACAACCTACTCCACTGTATCTCATTATCCTGCTCTCTACCCCCGCGTTCCCTGTCTCTCTTCACTGTCTGTCTAATGAAAAAAAATGCCTCCAAAAATTATATGAAAAACAAATGTATTCATTTTGTTCAAATCATGTAACAGGGAATACTGTTTTCTATTCTGACAGGCTGCTTTTTTACATCAGCTTCTGCACAAAATGACAAAATTAAAATTAAAATTTGAAAATTACGACGCACCATTAGAAACCAGCACGTCAATCTTGGGTTGCATGTATAAAAACCTGCATAAACATGACCTATATTTGCCCATTTTGTCTATATTTATTACTCTCTCGACGGAGAATCTTAAGCATATGCTCGGTTCAGCCAAGATTTTACCGTTAAACCGTATTTGAGAGTTCAGCGCAGACACACGTTACACACAGACACATGCCACCTCGGTTCCTCAGAGCAGCCGAGAGGAGATTCTCTCAACACATCGCTCTTTGATTTTGCGGCTCATTATATTCTGTGGAAATGCTGCCGCGAACGTTCATGCAAAAACATGGCGGTTCATTTCGTAGGGCTGGTTGTCTTTCTCAGACTATGCAGGCAGGTGTTTGAGGGGGGAGAATGTGCGCGTGTGTGTTTGTGTGTGTGTGTGTGTGTGTGTTGGTGTGTGTGGGAAGGCAGTGCAATCTAACCCACCCTCCACTTTTCTCTGGCAAACAAAATGATGGAAGAAACCTGGAATGGCGCTCAGGACAGAGAGGTACACTACGCATTAAGAAGGAGGCAACAGAGTATATTAGACAAGCTGCCACTGAAACCGAACGCTGCCAATTTAGATCTTTTGCGTTCGTAACTGTGGGAGCGCATCGACCGGGAGTGTATTCTTGGCTCCGTTGGTGAGGACGCAAATCACATATTACTGTGACGTTCCAGGTTTAAAGCTAGCGTGGGATCTTTGTTGTCATTCGCCTCTCCCTTTCTCTCCCTCCCTTGACTGTCCCCGGTGAAATAAAGCACACGAGGAAAACAAAACATTTATCCGAATAAACAAACACACCGATAAATGTATTTTATATATTTTAACAGAATGGGGGGGTGTAGATTATTGGATTATCCCTGCAGGAGCACTCCTGTCCCGTGGTAAATGATAGAACAATAAATCAAAGCAAAATACCAGGGATTTGGGAAGATTGAGGAACGTCAAATGGGAACGTAGTCTGCATAAAGGAAAACACACACTGACTGCACAGCAAACCTTGATACCGTTTCTCTGGCATAACATCCCTTGACAGAAACGCACCGCGATAGACACAGCGAGGAGGCTACGTCTCACCGGTGGCATGTTCACAGCAATTACAGACAAAGCTGAAGGAGGCAAGCAAAGAAGTAATGCTCCTGAGAACTCATGAGTTACCATGGAAACATCGGCTTCTGAATGAATTTGCTGGGAAAAAAAAAAAAAAAAAAAAGGGGGGAACGCGAGAGATAGAGTCCAAATTGTAGCATCAACTACACAAACCCTCTTTCTCCATCCTCTGGACTGTCGGGAGAAAGCAGGCTGCGATTTCCCAACGAGCCAAACCACTGACACTGATACTTGCAGCCCATAAGTACCAAACGCTCACATGCACGCACCACGTATTTACATCTGGTGGACGCAACGGCAGCATACAACGAATACACAGGCACAACTAACAAGACAAAACCATGGCTTCTGCTTCCAATGAGGCAGACATTCGCTGTATCCTATTTGAGGCGCAGCGCTGCAAAATTCCTAAAAACCTCGACTGCATTTTATCATCTGCAATGATTTTTTCTGCATCAGACCGAAATGCTGCAGCCCCGACGCTGTGCAGACATCTGCTAAAATGGAAGCGTGCACTTTTTTTCTGAATTCAGGCGTAATGTGTTTGCTACCGCTGCAACCCAAATCAGTTAAGTTGCGGCAGCGTTCCTCGGCGTAGAGAGCCATTACTTACTCCTCATATTTAATGTGGTAAATTACGTCCTCTTCTCTCTCCTTGCTGTCGGTTGCCGTTGCCGTAGAGTCTGTCTGAGAGGTGGAGGCTCCATTACTCTCCGAGTTTAACACAACATTATTCCTGTTACTGTCTGTGGTTTGACCCTGGCCGTGGGCCTGTCCCTGCTCGGCCTCCAGCTTTCCATTAGTCCTTTTTGGTGGCCGCCCCACCTTGCCCTTGGTGGGCGTTATCTGTCCTTTGGGAGCGCGTGTTACATTTTCGACGCAGGCCTCAAACCAGGCACCGATGCTGACGTCTCTGCAGTCCACCAGCTCGTTAATCTGAGGAGACACAAAGACAAAAATAACACCTGGTCTGTTTTAATCCCTGCGTGTTGTGTAAAAGAAACAGGCCGGCATCTCTGCATGCCCATTTACTAGCAATCACGTACTTAAAATGCAACACATGCACTCGTGGATTTTGTAAACGTGTCCTAACCCTGGGCGGCAGATATTTGTCAGAAAAACTTTCAGAGACTAATAGAAAACCCCTGACTCAAAACTGTGTTCTGTTTACTGCACAGTGGCGCTGCTCAGAGATGACACACGCTGATAACAGGTTTTCAGTTTCAAGTCTCTGCAAACTGATAGATACACATAAACTACGCACCAACATCATCTTGGAGGAGAAACTCTAGATCAATATGCACAACATCAGTTAGAAGCATTTTGTAGACATGCAAAAAAATAACAAGTTGGGCTTTCATTAATTCTCTCGGTAACATTGCTTTAACATTTAGTCTTTCGTGATTGTAATCTACAAATGCTTCCGGGCGCAAATGTTTGAGAGGCATTTTTTGAAATTAATTCCATTCATGTCACTAATGTTGCTTTTGTGAATAGTGCGTCTGTGGTGAAATGCTTGAAGCCTGTGAAAGCATGTGACCTTCATATTCAGTGAAGTTGCACAGTTTCCAACTCATCTACTTGATTATTGATCTTCCTGCGAGCTCTATTGGATTTTAAGCAACAAAAAGAGTGCCGTCCTACACATACAACTCACAGACGTGTGGGTCAGTCAGCCTGTAAAGTGCAGTAGAGTTCAATAGACTCACCGAGCGTCGGCCTTGACTGGAGTCTATTTTGAATCTGTGTATTGGTTAGTAGTGTGGTTTTACAGACTTGTTTCTTAGGTGTGGTTTGACATGTGCCTTCCGGGAAAGATCGGCCACATGCTTGTGTGTATATATGTTATTAGCCTCTATGAACTAAAAACATTCAGGGTAGCAGACCTACAGACTGTAATAGTGAGAATAGGAAGATAAATTTGGCACCGACACATGTGCTCTCACATCTGGACGTGCATAAATACAAGCAGGCAGGTCATCTGGCTGGAAGAGTGTCTAAGGAGAGGTGCTTCAACACAAGACAACAGTGAAAGAAATGAAAGAAAAAATTTAAATTAATCTGTTTTTTTCTATGTGTGGCACTATTTTATAGTGTAGGAATACATTGTAAGGTACAAAATCTACCATAAACAAAAAGTATGTGCACTTACGCCACATTACATTATTTATTATTTAAGCCACTGAACCCCATAACCTGCTAGCAAGTTTGAAAGGCATGTTACCTTTAGAAAAATCACCACAATTATACAATTATCAGAGCCAGAAGCTGCTTTAAATTGGTGGATTTTCAAGCTTTCAAGCTTTCCAGCAGTCCTGCGTAGTGTTTAAACTAGTCGGGAAAATTAACTAAATCTAAGCTTCGTTCTACATGTCTCATTCAAAAACCAAATCGTTTGTACTAAGCTGATTCTGTTAAAAAGATAAATAAATAAAAAAGGTCTCCTTGGTGCCGTAACTGACCCGTATGTGACTCAACTGCAAGCAACAGTCATACGATAAAAATTCAGGGGCTTTTTGGCAGAACTGGGCTGAACTGCAGGCTGTGTTTACAAAGAGCAGATAGGAAAAATGTACGAGTAAGTAGTAAAATATTTCTAGCATTTAGTCACCATTTTTTCCCCCCAAGCATCGGTAACATCTGTGTGCACTTGGAAAAATGTTGTACAAAAGCTTTTTTTTCTTTTTTATTATTAAAGGAATTACAATTTTGTTATACTGCAAAAAATAAAAAAACATTTTGGAGTTATGCCTACTTCCAGCCACGGTTGTGTCGTTTCTACAGAGGTGCAGGACTTTATATTGCAGTAAAAATAGTCCCTCAGTGAATGTAAAAGCGACAGGAACAAAAGAAAACCAACGGAAACTGCTCGGGGTTCAGAGGGTTAAGATTGCGTGGTCTTTATATTTACACGGCAATTTGAAGTTTTCGGCAGCAGCGAAGCAGCAGAGATACATTTGGTCTGTAATTTAATTTGACATCCAAACAAATAAGAGCGCTCTACCCAAGAATCTGTGGCAGAGAGTTGCCTTGTAGGGCACTAAATGCTCTGCAATTTAGCTAAGAGCCACAACAGCCAGTTTAAAGCAAATTCTTGCAAATAGTTTCAAAATATTTACACTCCCATCCTCACCTTGTACACGCCGATTCCTGGGTCGACTAGTGCGTTTCTGCTGGATGTGGGTGGCTGGGTGTCCTGTGCTGGACTGGAGGACTTAAAGCCGTTTTTGGTACTGGTTGAGTTACTGGTAGCGCTGGTGTCTGGCGTGGTTTCGTTAACAGTGCTGGTAGTGATGCTGCTCTTTTCATTGTCTATATTGGGGGTTGTTTCCATAGCAGCGGGGGAGGCAGGAGCTGGGACGTTGTGGCTTTCAGGCCTGGAGTCGGGCGGAGGGGCAGAACTGCAGGCATCACCTGAGGAGTCCTTGGCGGCGGGGCTGTCGGGAGCGTCGGTCTGAGAGCGAATCATCAGCTGAACGATGTCATTGAGACCCACGTTGTAGTCAAACAGTGTCTGGCCGTCTTCCATCTAAACAAATACAAATTAAAAAAGTCACTGAACAGACACAGGCGTACAGATGTAGAGAGTCACAGTTGTACATAGAACCTTGGCTTCTCTCCACTGGCTACCTGTCCAGTGATTTGAGGTGATTTGTTAGATTTTACTGGTCACTTTTAAAGCTCATCCGGGTCCTCAAGCTGCATAGCGCAAATGGTAACTAGCTTTTTTACTCGCTTGGAGTCTTAGATCTTCAGCCCTTCAGGCCCAAAGTCACGGCTTAAATCTAAAGGTGACGCTGCTTTGATCCAAAGTAAGGCTCGCAGAATCTGTGACCTTTTTAAAATCCCTTCTTGAATTTTCAGTTTTCACTTCTTGAACCACAAAATATGTTCTGGCATCATCTCAGATTTTGTTCATTTTGGCTTTTGTTGTTTAATTGTGGTTGAATACTGAAAATTTTATGTGGTTTCAGAGCTGGGAATTTTGAGTTTTCACCCTCAAAAAAAGAAAAAAAAAAAACGTCTTACATGGGAAGCTAATTTTAATTTCAACATCTCCAGAAATATAACTCCCACACTTGTGAAATTTGGCGAGGACACAGATAAAATAGTATCAAGCAAAATTTACTGATCCAGTGCTTCCATCAGAATTTCTATTATTGGCCCCCCGAAAATGGACAAACTGTTTAATCCATATATTTATTACTAAAAATACAGTCTTTGGTCAACAAAACCACATTCTTTTGTCTGTTGTTTTCACTGTATTTTAATTTCACCAAAGCATTTTGTAACCCTTGTTTTTAAAAGTGCTATAGAAATAGTGTAATTATTGTTGTTATTAATATTATATAGTGTTAAAATTTGCAATGATCTTCCTGATTCAATATTAATTTTTAAATCAACCGTTTGGTCAATAAAGAGTGACAAAAAAAATCTGCAGTTTTTTATTTTTTTAGCCCAAAATGTATTTAAATTTGAATTTTTCTTTTAAAAAAACATTTTTTTTTGGATAGAAATATTAAAAACAATTGCCTGATTTCATTTTAGACAGTCGTTGCTGCAGTAATTGTATCCTATGTGACTCGGCATCAGCTTTCAATTGCACAAACGTCCATAATGACCCTTTATCCTTTATTTAATTTGGTCCCAAATTTCTTTCCTAATGGACATCCTTGTGATATGAAATCAACACCGCTGCGCCACAGAGTGAGTGCCCTCAAACAAATACACAAGGCCGCTTGTCAAGGACAAACAACAAACACATTAGAAGGAAGGCAACGTTGAGCACAGCGAGAGAAAACATACTGTAACTGCACATTAAAATACACACACAGCGCTTCAGCAAATCCACATGCCTTCGAATAACACCAGTGGCGTTTTAAGGATGTTGCTCAGGAATCCACGGCAACAACATCTGTTCTCTGCTCTTTAAATAGCCGATGTACAGTTAGTGATCAAATGCGTTCAACTCAAAGTTAACTGCTCATCTGATTTGGCCTATTCCGAGTGACGCAAAACGTTTCTTACAATTAGCACCTAGGACGGGCGAGCCGCCGCTCGGTGCTACTGATGTCACGTTAGTATTCATTTACACGCGCAGTCCCGATTGAAACGCACGCCGTAATTGGGCTCCGCTCGCTCGTATCCGCGGCGGTTTTCTACAAGAAAAAATAAATAAAAGATATGAATGCATGAATTAAAGTGATAGGAGATGTAGCTGGGGGAAAGAAATGACTGGGTTGCTATGACAACCAAAAGAGAGCACCCCCCCCCCCACCCCCCCCCCCATGACTCTGAATCATATATACAATCGCTGTCGACACCAACCCACCATCACCACCACCACAATCACCGGCACCAACACCATCATCATCAGCGTGACCCTTTCAGGCAGCGCGGCGCATGGGCATCAGAAAATGGTTCACACGCACAAATAAAAAACAAGCTCTTTAAAAAAAAAAAAACGACGAGGCCCCATTAGAAACCCACATTTACTCTTCCACCACGGCCGATCCACCGTTTTACGTGTACAGTACGGTTACTGCCTTAGGAGTGGAGCTTATGGCGGACGCGCCAACTCATTACAGACATCAGCTATTCATTTCAGCCCTCAACCCCGCAAGCCCATTGTGCTGGAGAGACGAGCATGGCCGACACTCTTGCTCGCGCTCCCCTTCTCTCTCTTCTTCGTTATTTGACAATGAGGAGGAGAGCGGTTGGAAGTGTAGCGGGAGAGCAGTAGAGGGAGCAAGCACAATTTCCCCATCCCTCCCTGTTTTTAATAGTCTCATGAAATTTAGATCAGAAGAGCAGTGGTGCAAACACGGCCATACAGTGGTTGTTAGACTCACCTGTCTGTCTTTCTGTGGGGGGGGAGACAGTCTCGGCATTTCTTTGTCTGTTTCCCCTGCCTTGCCTAAGCTCGGTCTTCAATTTAGTCCCGGTAATTTTTTATTTATTTATTTATTTATTTTAAATCTTCCACTGTATGGCTGTTGTTTGCTACTTGAGCTGCATTAAGAAAAGAAAGGTAAACAAACAGACAAGCATCCTAAAGAGACAATAAGACTGCAGGCAGAACCGGGTTAGATGGACGGAGCAGACAGACACACAGACAGACAGAGTACCAAAACAACATAGAGGAGAATTGCACTGCACCAAACACATAAATGATATCTAAGCTGTTTGCACCCGCTTTCCACAGTGGCTTCATTACCATCAGCGTGTGCAGCCTCTCGGCGCGAGGTGACTTCAGTCATACTCGGCTGAATAATCCTCAAAACAAAGAACCACCAACTACACGAGCAAAAAACGTTCACGAGAAACAAGCTTTATACATTCAAGGAGGACGAGGTCTCTTTGACAGAATGCCGTCATGTTGACTAAGGACATGACATTTTCTCCCCCCATAATAAATAATGCAGCATAATTTAAAAACACGCCGCTTCTGGTATCTTCATTATGTGACTCAGTGAAATGTCGTGCATTGTTCCAGAGGGAGACTTCAGTCCAAAGCACACATCACAACAAAGCTGCAGACAAACCGAAGATACTTGACTTGAAGATTTCTCAAAAGGCTCGAACAAATAAAGAGTCAAAAATCCTTGGCACGGCAATGTTGTGCGAGTGTGTGTGTGTGTGTTTGCTCGCTCGCGTATCACATTTTTGAGTGGAATAAAATTAACACCTATCCACAAGGCTAATTTCTTATTTGAATTTCAACAGGAAATCTTTCAAAGACAAATGTCTTATCATAGCAGGCTCCAAAGACAACACCAAGTATAATGTCAGAAGGAACATCAAACAAAGACGAGACAAAGACCTGTGGCTGCTCTAACAACATACTGAACATCTAGACTCAAACCGCTCCGCAGACATTAAACCATACTGATTTTTTTCTTCTTCCCCCGTATCAGATCTCCTGTCGGGTAACAAATCTGTTTATACTGTTTTTAAATCTACAGCCTATAATACCCATCGAAAAGCAGACGGTGGAGAGCTATTTGGCTTTGCATTATCTTTCATTACTGTGCCAACATGCCGTCGCAGAGTATCTTATTGTACGGCTTTAAAGGCTCTTGATGAAGAAATCCTTCTGACATTAAAGTAACTAAGCAACCTGCTTAACATCCGTGCTGCAAAACAATGAGGCTCTAAGTAGAGATGAAATCAAATTAACAAACCAAGAAATCAAGGCGGCCCATTAAATTTTAGCACGATGTTTTAAGGTGTGAAACTCCAGCTGTATCCACACTGCCGGTGTTGAAGGAGATTTCATAGCAGAAATTAGCCTCTTTGGCTCATGCAGGCCGCCCAAACCCCTTTACTCCTACACGATTTCTTCTCGTCTCCGCCTACGGTCCGTGTTAGCCTGGAGTTGAGCAAAATAGGTCATATTACCAAAAACAATGACACGGGGTGTGTCTGCGTGCCTGCCATCTACGAGTCTCCATCTTTGGTCCTCTATTCTTCATTCTGCTCAGTGTTTTTAACCTTTACCTGCAAAAGATGCCGGGGTTTTTTTTCTTCCAATAATTTGGTAACAGTCGGTTTTAACCACTACATAAACAAAGAACACCTATTTGCCATCTAGTCCAAATATGTGGTCTTGATAAGTTAAATACCTTTGCACCCAGTTTGGGCTGAATTCCTTCAAATCGTTTCCTCAAAACACATCAAAAGGGAGCAAGTGGGATGAATTAACACATCTAAGAGCCACTTACTTTATGTCAATAGGTTTGCACAGTTATGTAAACATGGCCACCGCAACATTCAATTACTAAATGATTTTTTTTTTTTTTTTCCAAGGCTCAGTCCTTGTTGACCACATTCATGTGAGCTGAAGTGTCTGAGTTTGGCACATACGTGGAAATCTTTCTGCTTGTTTGCTTCTCAGCTGACAGGGAATTAAAACTATTTTTCCTTCTGTTATTCCAAATATTATTAAAACAATCTTTTATTGTTATCGGTGAACATCAGACCACAGTTGTATGGACGATGATCCATGTTTGCGTTGTCTTTTCTCTGAGTGTTGGTAGTTTTTAGCTGCGTTATGTCTCATTAAATGTGTTACCTGGACTAAATTAAAATAACCCGAGCGAGTGAAAGAACACAGACTCAGTGTCCGTGCATTTAGTAACTAACCCGTCATTCTACTCGGTGGTTATAGCAGGCTGCAATCATTGTGTCAAATGTGGTTATAAACTGACATTTAGATCACAAGTGGTGCTTTTAATTTGTAATATTGGCCCAAGAAAACATCAGCAGGTACAACAGACTCTGGTAATCTGAGCTAAAAAAAAAAAAAAAAAAAGCAACAGAAACCCTAGCACTTACAATGCAGGTGTAATAACGGATTTAACAGGTAGGTTATTTGATCACTCAGCAAGATAAAATTACACGTATGAGAAGGAGTGACAAAACTGTGAAAGCATGTGAGAGTGTTAGCAAGCCTGCAGTTTAGTCTAGATTTAGTGCCTTTCTTTGTCTTTGCTCTTTGTCCGGGCTATCTGTCGAAGAAGGGTGTGACTGTGTGCGTGCATGGCTGCTGCCAACTCCGCTCGCCTTGAAATTCTCTATGAAATTCTACAGCTTAGCAATACCCAAAGAAAAACCCATCAATCGAGGAGCCACAACATCAATCCATGTATAATCAAATTGTAACGATATCTAGGTCACAGCAACCGTCTGTGGGAAAGGGGGCAAGCCAATAACTACAGCCCAACAATAGGCAGCAGCTAACACTGGAGGAGAGACCCAACTATTTAAACACCAAGTATGTTGCTGTCTCGGTAGAAATAATTTGAAAAAAAAACATGTGACCTACAGCCTTATCTTCAAATCAGACAGACGCAACACGAGCCGAGCTCTAAACTGCTTATTAACGGAGCCAAAACCCCTTTTAAAATTAGCAAACGTGAATCCTGCTGCAAAAGCGAGTGCGGGCGCTGAGCAGAAAGGCCGCATGGCCAGTGGAAGGTGTGTGTGAGGCTGCTCGCGAATGTGAGTGACAAGAGACGTTCAAAGTGAAACAGAGACTCAACATGGAGTGCTCGGGCAAACTGAGGAAGAGAAAAAAAAACACAACACAACACAACAAAACAAAACAAAACACCGAGGCACAAAGTTGAGTGGCTTCTGGTTTAAGACCCTTCCGACTGAAGGGCAAGCATGACTTTGAACTGGTGAGGCAGCGTGAGCAGTGAGCTGGAGGGAAAAACAAGACGCCATTTTGAAAAGAGAATTAGAGTTGCTCTGCTACAAGTCTAAATCCTAACAGAGCGCAGGCACCACTGTGCATGTAAGGGCACTAGCTAGTGTACGCTGCGTGTCACTGGCTCATTCCATGCATTACTTAACACATGGAAATCCCCTAATCAACGCTCGGCACTTATTTTCCAGTGAACTAAAGGAAGCACAGGATTTACTACACAGGCCTAGCCTTTGCAGCTACGACAGTCCACAGCAGCTCCAGTGTAACAGCTGATTACTTGTTAATAAAGCAAATGTAACTTAACTACACCAAATCTAATAATGCTGATTAACTCCTTGAATTGAAAGAGGAGCAGCCTCGCTTTGGGCTGTTTTTAAGTTGCAAAAGGATGCTGTTGATTTAGGAAAAAGTGCACAGAACGATGGCTGCTGGTGCAAAAGGTGCAAAACGACGACCCTACCAACACCTCCCATCACTCTTCATCATGACGGCGTGTCATTATTTGCTTTCCCAACCAAACCAATGTTTTTCAGACAAAGAAAATAATACACAAAGGCATTCTAGGCATTAAATCTTTCTAGGACCATTCCAGACGGTTTTTTGAAGTATTTTCTTTCTCCCTGTCGTGAACCGTAGAAAGCATCAAACAGAGAAAACCCATTGTGGCAAGTATGACTCAGAATCGCATGCCTGTTCATTATGATTTAATTACACAAGAGGAAGTAGGTCCGACTATTCAAAAAGGCAGAAAACCCGTTTGCGAAGGAATTTGTTTGGCCTGTAATCCAGCCCAACACATATGAGCCATTCGTAAAAAAGTGTGACTGAATGTAAACAAAGTGAGATCAACATATCATGCAGGCTGTCGGCTTCCTGTGGGCTTATCTTCCCTGGTTGAGTCATACTGTGTTAATATCAGCTTTGTAATGTTATGCTAAAAATCTGAATAAATCATGACACCAGCGTCCTGCAAGCAGCAGGCGTCTTCTGCTTCTTACAGATAGTTTTCCGCCAATCAGTAAATCTTTTCACACATTATACACATTTAAATCTCGTGGGTCAGTCTGTTATGTTTTGATTCTGCTACGTACTGCCTGTTCGCATATCTGAACAAAATAATTACAGAATGATACGGGCTCCTGTTCGGACTTCATCAACGTGTGCTGGGTATGAATTCCTCAAATGCTGTTTGCATGTACTACATTAACAGCTGCAGTGTGTTAGCGTGCGGTAGATCATGAAACACGCCGTTAAAAAGAAAAAAAAGTGAATCACGGGCTTCGAGGCTGCATGCGACCATCGGCCACAACGCAGACACACATGTCCATCTCAGGGGAGCAGATTACGGTTTTCATCGTCGTCTTCCACAACAGCTGGAATTAGTGACAGTAAACCTTTTTTTTCCAATCGCTACGTGGAAAGCAGAAATCATGCACTAAACATCTGTTCGGCGTGAGACGTGCGTGGGGAATTGCAGGCCCAAGCCAATGACTAAACATACCTGCCTAATTGTAACCTAAAGCCCAGTGAGATATTGACTTAATCTCAAATTAGTCCTGAACAATTATTGCGGTTATTGCACTAGTTTCCAAAAGTGACAGCTGTGGTCCGAGCATATTTTTCCCCGAACGCTGCAGGTTTCAGATTTAATATATTAGGGCCATGTTGGATGCCGAGCGGAATTAAAATTGGGAGTGTTGCGGTTATACAATTTATAAGAGTGTAACAGGATGACTAATCTAATCAGAGGCAACGTCAAGCCGAAGGTAAGCTATGTGGACAAAATCATTTATATGCAGCATAATTATTGCGTATTTTATATAATATATATTGTTTTGCAGAAGCATTTAAAACAATTTGCTAAAAGGTTGAAGTCATGTTTGTGTTACGATTATTGTGCATTATCATTTATTTAGACAAATCAAAATTACCTTGGGAAATGTGTCATGATGCATCAAAGATAATGCTCAGATATAAACCCAACAGGTATAAAGTGTAGGACACCTAATAAAGATTGCATCCCAGGTGCACAGAATCTGCAAAGATCTCAAAGAGCAATCACCGTCTACCTCGCTTTTCCTGTTACAAAATGTGACCTGATAATATCCAGAACATGTCATATTGATTACTGATACGAGTATCAGATTGTTCTGGTGGTTAGATCTCAACTATTACTACACACTAAATCATCGCCTTAGCAAATCAAAATCACATGGTGCTGAAGCAGGGCCCTGAGTGTTTTGGATACAGTCCTGGAGGGTTTTTTTTTTTTTTTTAATGCAAAACACACCCAGGAAACATGCCACTCATCCATCTGAACGTTGCACAGTACAGTATGTTCGCAGCTGTCAGGCATGGAGCTCTTACAGTGGTGGGTGTAAACACAACTACACTTGCTTTTGGGATGTCAGGGCACGTGTAGCTTCGAGCATCCCCCCCTTTCCTCCTTCCTCCTCCCTCCTCCTCCTCATCAAAAAATTCAAATCATCATTAACACACTGCATATAGGTCTGTAGTGCCTCTTGCTTTGCATCGAGCCGCCGTTATTTCAGTTAAGCAAGTGCACGTCGCTGAGTGAGTGATGTGGGCTGTTTGTTTGCGCTGCACTACTTTTGTCTCCATGTGGAAAACAGAGGGCGATGTTCTCTTTTTCTCCCCTCTCTCTGGCGGCAATGTAAACAAACATGTCTACGGCTGGGCAAGGAACATTTGTTGCTCTCCTCAGCACCGAGCCGTGCACCGAAACAACAATGAAAAACACACCGACATGCATGCACGTTTTTCCCCCAAATTGGACGGCACACGGCGTTCCCCGGGCTTCTTGCGCAAGAACTATTGGCGAATTCCTATCAAAACAGGAAGCTCGTACGGGTCCGAAACGGCTCCAGAGGACCACTCACTCACTCACTCACTCGCTCGCTCACTTCTCCACCAGCACCTTCACCCCAACGACCGAGAAGAGAAAAAAAAAAAGAAAGAAAAAAAAACTGACTGTTGCATGACACAGACACACACACACAACAAAAAGCTGTGTTTACCTGCTTCCCTCGGTAGAAGAGGCGCTGCTGCTGCGGGCTCACATTGAAGACGTCTTGTATTTTCACGCGCAAAGACTCGATTTTGGTCAATCTAGAAAGATCCTCAATGCTTCGCGTCTTCTTCCCGTCTATAGTACGAACCTGGATCCACATCGTCGCGCCGCCCTGTTAACGCCTTCGAGTTTAAATAGCAGATAAAAGCAGCGCGTGGACGCGGATAGTTTGTGTTGGGCTTTTTTTTTTTTTTTTTTTTTTTTTTTTTTGTCTCCCCTCGGGGGGTCAAACGAGAGAGAGAGAGAGAGAGAGAGAGAGAGGGAAAAGCGAACAGTTTTTCAGGGCTCCATTGCGTTTTTTCCTCTGCAGAGGTAACGTCGGACTGGCTCGCGCAGGAGGTGTCTCACATGAGGTCGCGGCGCCAAGCAAATCTCGCGAAGCAACGTTGAAGCGAGCTCCGCGCGCAGTTAAAGGCGCAGCTCTCCATTCAGACCCGGGGACACGCGCGGGTCTCTGTCTTGTCTGCCTATTGTGTCCGCCGCCTGCAACTTCTCGCAAAACGCTGTTTCGTTTCACGTTTACGTTCCTCACAGGCAGTGGCGGTTCTAGATAGATTTCACTGGAGGGGGCCGGTGTTTAATGACACATTAAAAAACGACAACAATCATATTTAAGCACTAAAATCTAGTATTTACTGTATATGCAAATTAAGCAAATGTTTATTTTATTTTATTTTATTTTATTTTATTTTAAGAAAAAAATACATCAACTGTAGCAGCCATGGGTTCGAGTCCCGCTCATGGTCCTTTCCTGCAAGTCCTTCCCCTATTCTTCTCCCCCACTCTCCTATCTTTCTCTCTTGCCTGTCCTATCTAATAAAGGCAATTCCCCCAAAATAAATTGCTTTCAGAGAATACATCAGCTGAAACAATGAGGGCCAGTGTTGAAATGTGTAACAAAACAGGGACCCCCCAACAAAGGTTCCACACAACAGCTGAGAGGTGTAACTGTGTGTAATTATAACAATAAACATAATAACAATAAAATTAAATATATAGTGTATATTATATATTACTAATGCAATTATACATATATATTTAACCCAGAAACCAGCGCTGCAGCACTGACCCTGTTACACATATATCTCATTTAACCCTGTTCAGGTCTTCTTGGGCCTTTTGGACCCCAGGCCATTTGGTTTAGGTGACACATATTGTTTTTTTATTTATTTATTTTTTTTTAATATAAAAAGAGGAACATCTGTCATGCATTTGGAACCAAAAATATGTCAACTTATCAGAAAATGTATTTAACATAGTATTAAAGTCTATATTGAATACCAACAAATATTTTGCACATTTTATTTCTTGGGGTCCAATGGACCCAGAAAGACCTTCTACGTATGGCAACATGAAAGGCCTGCATAGGGTTAACATGTAACGTTAACCATCCATACTTAGCATGGGTGGATGCCGTTAATTACTTTACTCACCATTGGTTCTATAAAACAGTCCTACATTATGTGGTGTCTATATATTTTAATATTAGGTGATGACGTAATCAAGTGCACCGATGTTCCAATTAAACATTAACCGCAAGTCCATACTACCAAGTACACATGTCCATATATGTCCAGGAGACAGCACCGAGAGCAAAGCCAGGCTACAGTTTGGATGCATTGAGCCACATTAGTTTCCATTTCAACGTTATAAAGTGATCAGTTTATTACTCAGTCAACACAGGGGCCTACAGGGACACTGGTTCCTGTAGGCCCCTGTGCAGAACCACCACTGCTCACAGGGTGTTTCTGTTGTTGGCCTCAACGCTGCAGGTGCTTTGACATGAGAAAGCCTTTGCAGTCACATTGGCTACCATTAGCTACAAGTTGTAATAAAACATTTGTACCTTAAGTTCACATAATGTTTAAATTATGTTTCTAATGTCATGAAATGTTCCCATAAGGTTAAAACTTAATCAAGCTGTAATGCTTTGATCGCAACTAAAAAAGGGCTGCTCAGAAGATCATACAATGGTGCTTTGAAAAGTTCACCAAAAAAACATCACAAGAGAAAAATGTATTCATGCATTATTATTTAATATATTCTCCTTTATCTTCAACGCTCTTGTTCCCCCATTCGCCATCCATTCGAAGGTCACATTTTGAGCATCCGGATATTCCTCAACAGCATGCATGACCTCATCATCAATCTAAAAATGGGATTTCAGTTTGGGAAACAAACAGAAGTCAGACGATGCAGGTGAGGTGAGTGAGGTGCATGATTCAACAGCTCAAAGCCACGCTCACCTGTTTCCTCCACCTGTGCTGTGTGTACAGACGTATTTTCTTGGAACAACAGCACACCAGCGCAAAGCTTTCCTCTCCTTTTTGTATTTGATCGCTTCAGACATTTGAGTTTTTGTTGGGAGTGACAGAAAAAGCCAACATTCAAAAAAGTGTTTTTAATCCCCCAAAAAACTCAGACACCTCAATGATATCTTGCATGCAAAATTCTGAAAATGTTACGAGGATGTTGTTGAGGTAACTGATTTTTTTTTTTTGCATAAAAATTCTTACAGTGTTACACGATGACAAATAATGGATGTTCTGAATGCAACACTATGAAAATGCATGAAGCAGAGTGTCTTCAGAGAACTTTATCCTTCCTGTCTGGAATCATTCTGGAAACAAAGAAAAACTTCCCACTGAAAAAATGACTACAGCTTTACAAAACTTCCTCAGTGTGAACAACAAAAAAAAATCTAAATGTGTTTACAGTACAATAGGAGAACCTAACAGTCTTACAATACACTTTGGGGTCAAGTACATTGCCTTTTAAAGTACAGTGTTGATGTGCAAGTCTACTCTATAATGTAACACTGTCTTTTCTGAACAGTTCTTTCAGTGCTGTTGCTCTTACAGGTTTTTAAAATTAAAGTACAATTCTATACACAATGTGCGTCGAAAATTTGGGTACATTAGAATAGAATAGAATGCCTTTATTGTCACTATACACATGTACAATGAGATTAAGATGAGATTAACCATCATGCTGTATTTGTACATGGGAAAGTTATACTCTTTACTATACCTTGATTTTTAAAATCTTTTTTGTACTTTTTGTATTTCTTGTCTTGTTTCTTACTGTGCTTCTCGTGTACCTAGCTGCTGTCAAGTGTATATTTTCCTGATGAGGGATCAGTAACGTTTATCTCATCTTATCTGATCTCATCTTAATCTTGTTTCATCTTATCTCATCTTAGCTTAGCTTAGCTTATCTGATTTCATCCATCCAGCTGCCTAAGAGTGCAATCATTTTTATACTTCAAACACATTTAATTGCTCATCATATTTCTTTGTGGTTAGGATTTTGAAAACCTGACTTGTTGTATTGCTATTTATACCAAAGGCCTTACAGACAAGTCTCCCCACTTGTAGCCATCTTGGTAGCGACCATTCATTAGTCTCACATGCCTGCACCTCACTATTATTCTGCTATAGGGTAAAAACAACAACAACAACAACAACAACAAAAAGCCCACTCTGCCTTGTTTATATTACTTTAAACCAATCCCAATTGTATTGGATAGAGCTAAGTGAAGATGCACCAATGGCGTCCCCTCAAAATAATGTCTGGGGACTAGTTTTGGGGGAGCATTTGCATGTAGGAATGTGAGCACTGTCATTAAAATGACTAATTCATTGCAACTACTCACTGCAACTTCTAAATTCTTGACAAAACTTTACATTTTCAGTGTGGTAAGTTCTTCGTCTTGTTGTTGTTTCCTGTAGTGAGGGGGATTTTGAAAACAGTAAAATGTAGATGGGGATAGACAGAGCAGGGGTGCGTTCCAATACTCACACTATGCCAGAAAAAGATTTATTGCATTCCACTATGTTGTATGTCAAATTCAATAAAAATACCAAGACGTACTAATGCATTTGCACACATTTTGCAACATACAGGCTAACATGCTTTCCTAACCATTTGTCACGTTCATAAACAGATGATTTCACACTGCAGACTGTGACGAATGTATGAACAAGATGGTCAAAGCTTAAGGGGAAAATATTATGACGGACCAGTATGTCCCAGCTGTATGCACACTGCATGCAAACAGTATGTACTTTGTAAGGGCAGCTGTAGCACGTACTGAAAGTAAAAATAAGTCGTATGTGATTCAGAATGCTGGCCAGGTCTCTATGTAAATGAATGGGGAACTTTAATGCAATTTCAAAAGTCACCGAAATAAGAAAACTGCACGTAAGGAAACTTCAGTCAGAGCTAATAGAAGCTGCTTAAAAAGTTTGATGACTCCTTTCCAGAATAAGGTGTTTTCCCCAAGTACACACAGTTTTAGAATAATGCAGTAGCATCAGTGGAACAACATCACCTGGATGTTTGGCTGTTATAAGCAACCAATTGTTTTTTAATGGAAGGGGCTAAGGCATGTGTCATACAACCACCATCTTTGGAAAGTATCTCTCTTATAACGTCTCTGCTTATATTTTAAAGAAAGCTTTACATACTTCTTCCACTGCTGGGTGTGATTAACCTGGAGCCAAGGGGCAGAAAGCCAGATTGGACCCATATTAACCTTCTGTTACTCCCTATGTCCTGTGCAGCATTTCACACGCTGAACCTGAGGCTTTTGGGCACCAGTGCAATAGCCCACTTTTTCTGGCTGTAATCCAGTTTTGGGTAAATGTAATATGGGATTAGCCTAATTGTCTTCCCACAAAGACAAATGAACAACTACGGCACATTCAAAATGCTGCTGCTGGATTTCTAACAACAAAGCAATTACTCAGATTTTCGAAAAAAAAATCTTTACAATTAGAATTTATTTTATAGTGCTGCCCTCTGTTTCCAAATCAGTTCATATAGGGCCAAAACGCATTCCTTATTTGCTTGAAAAGTAACCTTAACAGGCATATAAAAGTTTTATAGGAAGTAGTCAGCTAGTAGTACCTCAAGGTTTAACCAAGAAAAGCTGCTTTAAGCTGGTAGGCCGCACACAGAGGGAGCCAACTTCTGGTCCAACATGAAGTTAAAACCTTCTCTGCTCTCCTTTCATTTCTGTTTCTTTATATATCATTTAATTGCTGGACAGAGGAGTATGCAAAATCTTTTATTTTTTACACTTCCCATCTTCATAAATTACATACAGTGGCTCAGTTAAGCATTTTGTTGTGACACAATTCACACCATATTGTTACTACAGTGATTAATTATAACACAATCCTATAGAATATGTCTTGCATTGCAAAGCATACAGTCGAAGCCTCCTAAAACCTCATCTCTGAGCCCTCTATTTCCTACTCAGACTATGTCTGTGAGACTGCACATCACTGCAATTATCATCCTGTATTGTATTTTGTATTTTCCATCATTTTGTAGGAAAAAGGAGACCTATATTGGACTGAAAACCCATTCCCTGACAATACCTCTCAGCTGAGTTAAAATCACTGTAAAGCACGGGCCCCTGGTGGCATGATTGCTTAATTAACAATTGTCCCAGCTGGAGGCCTCCTGGATGTCTCGCATAAGCCTATAACTGTGGGTAGAAGATCTGCTCGCTTCCCTGACGCTGCGTGTTGTGACCTTTGCTTACGTGACTTTAAAATGCAGCAGTTTGATTGTGACTTGTGCTAAATCAATTCAAAAGGCATTATTTTAACAAAGCCCATCAGCAGCTCTAATAACTGCACATCCCTGCCTCAGCCCACAGCAGTTAAGGCCTGCATACAGTGGCCCAAACACAGTTTATGAGACGTTTATGCCCCAATAAATGTCTGTCAGGAAGTGGATTTTCTCTGGCGCTTTAAAAAGCCTCCTGTTCTACAGTCACCACACAAAAGCCAGAAGCGCAGACGTAACCAGGTTCACTCTGTGGTGGAGCTGTTTTTGGGTGCGTTCAACAGTGGTGGTTTTCGGTCTGGGCCTCTGAGAGTATGGCGCTAAATGTTATATGAAAACATGTTTTGTTTGTTTGTTTGTTTTCATAAAAGTAAATAATAACAACAATAATAATAATAGTTTAAAAATCTGCATCTATTTATCTGTAATTCTGATCATGTGTTCAAGCCCACAAAAAACAAATATGGTCGCTGATTGAGGTATTATTTTATTGATGTCTGACCTGTTTCCGAAGTGCTTTGTTACAGATGTTGCCATTTCATTTAATATTTACGGCATTGACTCAATCATGTAGAGCATAGTCTCGCTAATCATACAATTAATTACCAAAACACGACAGCAGGTAGCCTAATTACAATAAAAACACATTCTATTGTTTTAATTTAAGTTGCTATAGCTAGATAAGCTATCAAATGCCATGGACAGAATTCTTTTTTTTTGTTGGCTACACAGTTAGCAGATGTGATCTGATTTTTATTAGTTTTTTATTTAGGTTACTGTGCAATGTGACTTTATGAGTAAAGATTTTCATGCCATCAACACCTGCATCCCTTTTCCTGGACTATTTACAAGGTCGGCCACCCAAATCACCATTACATAGAGTTTATGCAATGTAATACTTACAGATGTACTGAAATAATTATTGGACCACATGCTGATTTTTTTTTACAGTGTCTACAAAACAAACCTTTAGACATTGACAGTTCTGCTTAAACTTGTAGCATAATAATTAAATAATTACAGCATCCTCTAAAAAGAGACAAAAAAGTCTAATAATTCACTACAATTAATAAATTATGTTTAAAAAATTCTATGAAATTATTGAAACTGTAAAAAAAACTCCCAAATTTAATTTTGATTTGCTGGATTGTTTTTTTTTTTTTTTTTTATCACCATCATTTTATGTACATTCTGTGTATGTAAAGTCAACAGATAATCCAAACTGAATTATAACTCAGCAATCTTTAAAGGAAGAGAATCGTGACATGACAAGACGACAGACATCTTGGAACCTGAATGAAAGAAAAAGTTAATTGGCCTGCAAAACAGTGACAGTGTTCTCATAAATGTTTCTAAAACTGTAATTGTGCAAATCTTAGCGTCCACTCACTGTGATGTTAAATTATATGGACCAAGCATAGAAAGACAGAAATAGAGTTTTTTTGTTGCCTTGATCACAGTTTCTCATATTGTATATTAATTCCTACACTCGTGGTGCAATTTGAAGTTTATAATCTGAAGATCAACATCTACAAAGGCCTCTGGGTCACCTGCGAGGCTCAAGAAAGGGCAAATTTCACCCTTTTCATGAGTCAATAATAGAGAACTACTGTAAATTAGTGCGCAGCGACATCTAGCGGTTAAAAAGGAGACGTCTCTGCTGCTCAAGTTCCACCATATAGGAGCAGGACCCTGTGCGTCTCCCCTGTAACTCATTCAGAGACGCTTTAGCGCTCAACTTATGAATGAATGTTTAAGCAGACTCGTGCCGTCAGCTCACCGTTGCGCACGAGATCTCCGCCGCTTCACGCGCAGCCGATCGATTCTTTTGAATGACGGCTGTCTCCGCGGGCTCGTCCGTCCCCGACAATGACTGACGTTAAATCACAAAAACGCCTAAAAGCGCAGCGTGAAGGTGACAGCGTTGTCCGGCGTTGTGCTGCCCCCTCAAAAAACCAAAACAAACAGTCCGGTGTGACACGGAACCAGCTAGCTACGTCAGGGCTGCGCACATTTGCATCGGGGCTTGCACGCAGGGTGGAAGTGAAGTGGACGGTTCAGTAGTCTTCATAGTAGTCGCCGACTGGCTTTTTTGTAACCCCGCGGCGTCCAGAATGTGCCCGACACATGCTGCTGAATCGCCGTTAAAGTGAACGCATAAAATGCTACGTGCCACAAAGTAGGTGTCAACTTGAAAAAGCCCGGCTGGTTAGCGAGGGTAGCCGCTGATGATGAACTGTTGTGCATTGTCAGACAATCAGCTAGTGTTACTTCGGCTCCGTTAGCCGCCTCGCTGTCACTGACATCACCCCGTGCGATGACGACATGATATGCCTGCATAACTTTTTATCTGCCGGACATTTAATTGCTTCAGTTTTTCTACTATGGACGGCGAACGCAGCAATTGCAGGCCCCTGGTTGGAGACAATAGCAAGCTAACCCAGCTAGCAGGCTGTCGTGGCTGCTAAGCTTGCTAAAAGCTGTCCTGTCTGGTGCGTGTGTGGACTCGCACTGAAAAACGTCGAGGTATGCTGTTGAACCAACCAAAATGTGCCTCTGGTCAGTTTGTTTTGCTCTTATTTTACACGTGATCAGGATACGGGACGTATTAAGGGAGTGCGCTGTAGATATTTCCATGAGTAAGCAGAACAAACTTTGTTTACATACTGTTGTTTTAACTGGCGATAGCTAGCTCGCTAACGGCTAACTTCAAGCTAGCTAGCCATTGATGCAGGGGGCAAAGGAAAAGTTTGCAGGTGGATAAAGTGAGGTGAGCTGCTGGTAGTTTGGACCCAGTCACACGAGGTAAACATTCCCGTCTTTTCTCATGTGTCTGTTATAATATGACCCCCTTTCATGGCAACAGTTATAATGAAAGCAAACTTAGCCTGACGATGGTAGGTGTGAGCAGCTCATCTCAATGCTGCACTTTCTTTTGGACCTTGCAATATAAATGCATAGTAAACACTGATTATTTAACAATGTTTAGGTTTAATTAGATTGTCATTTGCAAAGTCAAAGTTCGCCATAAGCACCACCTGTTACCCTCTTCAGGTGCCTGAGTCATGGATCAGGAGGATCTAATAGACCAAATCACTGCAGCTTGTAGCCAACAATTGATCCACAACCAAGACCTGACTGCCCAAGACCCAGCAGCTCAGCATCCCACCGCTGACATCATGTCTTCACAGTCCAAATGGGTGAGCGGCAGCACTGAAGACCTGGCCATAACTGAAAATGGCACCTGTGAAGTTGAGACTATGGTTGCACTACACTGTCCTGGCGCCATAGGAGATGCTGCCGCTGAGGGCGACCACCTTTCTCTGAGCAACGACGGCATGTCAGAGTTTTCCAACAGTGATCTCTCGCTCCCCGAGGTCTGCATCTCCACCAACAGCAATAGCTTCGAGGAGGATATGAACTATGAGGTCCAGCAAGCTTATAGGATATTCACTGGCTTTCTCTTGGACAAGCACAAAGGGATCACCAGCCCATTCCTCCATCCCATCGGCCACCAGGAGGCCCAGCACGGCATCGGAGGAGTCAAGGGCCGGGGTCAGTCACAGCTCAGGCAGTCGATGTGCTTGCGGAGAATGGAGGAGAAGTTTATCAGCCAGCAGTATGAGACCATAACGGAGTTTGTTGCAGACTTCAGGCTCATGTTGGAGAACTGTTATCGCTACCATGGGGTGGACCACTGGATCTCCAAACAGGCTCAAAAGCTGGAAATCATGCTGGAGCAGAAGCTTACGTTGCTGTCTAGGTAAAAAAAAAAAAAAGAAACTAACATGTAGTTACACTGTTACACAAACCACATTGCTGTCAAATGTCCAAAACATACAGTTCCAATCACAGAAGGCACAAAAGTATTTTCTATGTCACTTGCATCATTACACATTGTTGCTGGATGTTTTTGGCTACAAGTTTAGTCTGTTATTATATTTTGACAATAGCAATGACAGTGAAGGAGTCTACGCAGCAGCAAATGTACATGTCATAACAATCATCCAGCTTTTGGTCACAGTTGTACTTGTTACATGTTCCAAATCTTTTTTAAATTCTTTATTTAACCAGGAAAAGACTCACTGAGAATAAGACTTTTTTTTTTACAAGAGCATCTTGGCAAAGACAAGTAGTAGCACAATTTAACAGATTACTGATATATATGCATTTAGCAGCTTAAAAAAGGTTTACCCTGGGATTATTCCTGTAATACACTATAATAATATCACAAAAATACACACCATGAGTCATCACTGTTGAAGATTATTCCGGGGAAATGTGTACTAGTCATAACACGTTCATTTAAATGTGTCTGCCCTCGAGGTACGTAAAGTTGCTTCAAATTCTTTCATTGAGATCAAGTTTTCAGGTTTATATTTTTTCAGTTTCGATTCCAATCAAAGAGGGCAGGATACTTAAATGCCCTTTTCCCATATCTATTACGCACTCTGGGAACGGATAGCAGGGATAGTACCTGTGAGCAAAGACAAAAACTTCTCATACAGTTATTTAACCACTGCAGATATGAAGGAAGCAGACCAATAATTGCTTTATAAGTAAGAACATACAAATGATTGGGTGTAGGGATGGACAAGACAGACCATCCACCTCGTGCATATAACATGCAATGGTCAGTAAGTATCCAATCATGTATGCATTATGAAGAGGCGTGCATGTATATGACATTGCCAGAATGAAGCGCACGGATCAAAGTCTTGTTTTGGCCTTAACAATACTTGGTTCTTGAGGAAATACCTAATTTCGACTTTTACCAATTACTTGATGTGAGGTGGGTGTAAACAAAAGAAGGTCATCAGTTCTACTTCCTAGATTTTTATATCAGACTGCACACTTATTCACAGACCCCTGAAAAGTGACACATGATGAATTCTTATGCATTCTGAATTATGTGGCTGTTATCAAACAACTTTTGTGTTTTTTCTTTCAAACCAGGACACTGCGAGAGAAGACTACCTTGGCAGTGACTTCTAAAGGACGCTTTGGGGCAGAGGAGGAACGGACCTCAGGAGGAACCTCCACCAGGAGGAGACTGGCACCTCGTAGCCTTGCTACCATCACTGTTGGTGGGCATGAGTCTGTCATGGTACAGGCGCTACGGCTGGAAGAGCAGCAGAGAGCCAAGGAGGAGAAGAGGTGGGAGAGTATATGAAAGAGTTTTTAATGAAAGCTGATTTTGTTAACATTTGTTCCAAAAGCAAACAAGGTGTTAAAACTCTACCTTGCATTTCCAGGCAACGTGAGCTTGAGAAAAAAGAGGCAGAAGAAATGTCAGCCAAAGAGGTAGAAGAGTGGGAGCAGACTTTGCTGTCACAGGCCTCCCCTCAGACCGTGGACACCCTTTGGGAACTCCCTGCTATAGGACACTTTCTCTGCCTGGCTCAGACTGCTCTTAACCTTCCCGAGATTGTATTTTTTGAGCTGGAGCGATGTTTGCTGATGCCCCGCTGCAGCCTGCTGCTCTCCAAAATCATGTCTTCCCTATTGTCCCCCCCACAGCGGAGGGCCACTCTGCACCGTCGGCCTGCCCTGGGTTACCGCCGCTGGGAGTCAGAGCTAAGGCAGCGTGTCGTGGGCTGGTATCGAGCTGTTGGTGCCTCCCGTGATCAGGCAGGGCGGGCTGAACAGCTGGGACTTTGCCATCAGTTTTTCAGCACCCTGGGGGAAGTGAGTCCTTTGGAGGAGAAACCCTTTCACTTGCTGCCCTTCTACCAGCGAGTGTGGCTTCTGAAGGGGTTGTGTGATCATGTGTATGAGACACAGAAGGATGTACAGGATGCTGTGCTGGCCCAGCCCATCCATGAATGTAGGGAGTCTATTTTGGGCTATGACAGCAAAGAGAATGCCTACATACATTTCCCACATTTCTGTGGGGCAGACCTGAGGATCTATTGCCAGAGCCCCAGCACACCCCCGGCATTCCCTTTTCCTTCTGTGTGGGTGAAAGGGGTTGAAATAGAGCCAGAGACAGAGGGTGAGGAGTCGGATGGACTGAAAGATGAGAGGGACAAAAACGACACAGAGTGTTACGGCGTCCCCATGGACACCGGAGAGTCTGGCGATTTTGGTAAACGGAGAACAGAGACTTTTGGGATTTTCAAAAAGGAAAATGGGAGTGGAGAGGAAGATAAAAAGTTTAAATCGTGGTCACTGATGAAGGAGGATGTGTCTGAATCAGGGTCCTCTGATGGAGACTCCTGTGAAGACTCTAAATTGAACTTAAAACTACACACTAACTCCTTATCCCTCACACACATTAGTCCTATTGGAAGAGGTGGTGGTGTGAAAATGAATCTGAAGGAGGAGGCCTTAGATGTGGAGCATCAATCCAAGAGACTCACAATAAAGCAGGAGGATAGCTTCTCTTTGGGTTCAGTGCGCACCATTAAAGCAGAAACACAGGACCCCTGTTTGAATGTAGGGGAGCACAGCTACACGGGCAGGTCCCCTGCTCGCTCAGCGAATCCCCCCTCCCCAACCAAACCTTTGGGGCTCAAAGTGGAGGGAGTAAGTTCCAGTCAAGGACACCAAAGACCTTCCTGTTTGGAATGTTGCAAAAGCAAAACTAGCGATGCTAAAACTGAGGAGCACGACTGCTGCTGTGGTACATCAGGGCTAGCCGCACAGTTGTCTTCTGAGAGCACTCAAAACTCGAGTGAGGAGAGGATGAATGACAAAATCTGGACTAAGAAAAAAAAGCGGAAGAAAAAGCGAGGGAGGGAACAGCTGCTGAGGGTGAAAGGAGAGCACAAGCAGCTGCAGCATGTGGACAGGATGAGACTGTCCACAGCTGAGGCTTCCAAGTCAGCAGTGCGGAAGGTTACCACAACAATCAAGAGAAAAGACAAGAAGAAAAAGCATAAAACAGGTAAGAAAAACCTTTACGTCGATGTCAGTCCAGGGGTTTCTTTTACCATTGCAACAAGCTCTTCTTTTAGCCCAATTACCTTGTGTTTTTTACAGTAACTTGCTATCTTTATCTTGTTGACAGGAAAAAAGGCTGAATCCTCAAAGAAAGTTAAAGACGAACTTCCAGTTGAGCCATCATTTAAGGTAGCCACACTTATATTTACACTTCTTGAGCAGTGTATTTTCTATGTAAGATGAGAAACCTTTTATAAAAAATCATTTACTGCTATTCTACCCCTCACCCTTTTCACCCCATGCAGTTGGTATGCACCAGTCTTGAGGAACTGCGTGAGCTGATCAGTAAGACGGAAGACGAACTTGATGACCTGGAGAGCACAAAAAAGAGATTGGTAGGTGGCAGTGCTTGTCCTCATGTACTCCAGAGCCTTCGTATGTTCATTTTCTCACATTTGAACACTGGTAGCTTGACAGCATTTTCTTTGGTATGTTCAAACTGACAGGGTCGGTGGTATTATAGAAGGGAAGCAGTGAAAGACCTTCATAGCACTCTAATCAGACTACTGAATGAGCTTTCACCCTGGGAGCCCAAACTTGTTAAGGCCTACCAAAGGAACAGGTTTGATATTTAGATAATGTTTTGATAAAACTTTAATTAATGTCAATATATATATTTTTTAATCAAACGTTTGTCCTGATAATAATAGTTAATCTTGTACAGTTGGGCTTATCTTGACAGCCAACAACATAAGCACTGACTGAACAGCTCTTTGTAATCTATCAGCATTGCTGAAATGGAAATAAATCCCTGCTTTAATATGTCTTCTTTTCCCATTTACACCAGGCTTCGTTTGAAGAAGGAGTTTGATGATTTCAAGATGCACCCAGAGTACAACAACTTTGTGCGTGAGGAGTGTAATTCGTCATCATCAGATGATGACGACGAAGAGAAGGATTTAGGGAAAGAGGCGTGTTCACTCTCTGATCATTACGGAAGATCAGAAGAGGAAGACCTGGAGCACATGGTTCCCAGAGGCCTTTGGAGTGGAGGTAATTCAACTAGAACCCAACATTCACATTTCAGTTGCTGTATAGTATCATTTAAATTGTTTTCATTGTCCTAAAGGCAGCAGTGCAGTAAAGAATCCACTGTTCTGAGCTAATTTAACTTTTGTAGAGGAATTAAAAAGTCACCACCTGTGTATTGAACCTGTATAGAGAGTAGCATAGCTAATTAAGGACTGTATCTCTAATGGACATCTCTGTTATGCTCTCAGCAAACACCAGGGAGTTTGTGGCTGAGTCTGCTGGAGAAAAAACGGTGACCTGCGTACCTCCAAACCACCTGAAACACCCTCTGGCCAGCACAGAGAAAGGCGTCAGTCTGCTCCCAAGAGTTCACGCTGTCAGCAGTAACATTACTTCTGGCGACTTGAGGCTACAATCTAAATCTGAACTGATCCCAACAAACCAATCCAGGGATTCGGCATGGGCAGCGAGGGTGCCAGCCCAAACTCCAGTGTCACCCAGATCCCCCATCCTCCACCCAACCAGTGGACTACCTAAGGGCTACACGCCCATCCCCACCCTGCTGGCTAAGAGTGTGGGAAACAAAGTGACCTTAATGAAACGACCTGCTGATTGCCTAGGTGTTTACAATGTAGATGGACAGCGCAAAGGGCCTTTGGTCTCCATGCCTGCCTCTGCAGTGGCTAACACAAAACTTTCAAAAGCACAAAATTCTCCATCCAGTTCCCAGCAGAATTCGCAACAGACGCAGGCACAAGGACCAAAGCAGACGTATGCACTTGGGCAGCCAGGAACGGCCACTGTGACGGCAGCTCTTCCTAAATCACCACAGGCCAAACCAACCCAGGCAGTACCAAAAAATCCTGTCCAAGTGGTGTATAAGGTACCTGAGGGACTGGGTCATCTTGTCAGGAAAGATAGCAGCAGCAGCAGCAGCAGTCCAATCAAGATCTCTGTTCAACCTGTTGTGGACCAGAACACTGGGGAGAAGATCATGCAGCAAGTGGTAATTCTGCCTTCTAATCTTCTCATTCACAAAACTGAAGCGAAGGCGCCCTCTTTACACCAACAACAGGCCAAGGGCAGCCAGGTCGCAGTCTCTAAAGTGGCCAGTCCTTTATGTATGTCCACCGATGTGCCTGGGTTCAGCATTCCTGAAAACAGAATCCCCGTTCAGCAAGTGGCTCCCCTAAAAGATGCAAGGACAGTGAGAACTCCTTCTCCTTCTGTTTCCCCTCGCCTGCAACAAGGGTCCCTAAACACAGCAGAGTCTAAAGGGGCACAAGTATGTAGTGTCCAAGCTAGCACTTCCCAAGGTGTCGCACCAAACCCTTCACCCATCACAACTCATTCCAGTGCAGTTTCTACTGACCCTGTTAAAACTACAGACTCTAAACAGGAGCTAAAGACTGTGTGTATTCGTGACTCTCAGTCAATCCTGGTAACAACTAGAGGAGGCAACACAGGTATTGTCAAAGTCCAGACGTCCTCAGACCAGAATGCACTGGGGTCTTTCCCTACCAGTCCAGTCATCACCATCTCACCTCAGTTTAAAGCCTTCCTCGTATCCAAGACGTCACAGACTCTTTCTACGACTTCTTCTCAGACTTCCCCTTCCGCTGTCCCAGCAATGACAAGTATCTCTGTAGCCCAACCCCAGAAGAAGGTTCCGTCAGTATTAAAGCCCCCTTCCCCTATCACAAATCCCATGCTCACTGCAGTCACCGGTAGCATCGCCGTAACAGGCCCAGGAAGCCAGACTGCAGCCACTACTGCTACTTTAAGTCACGACTCCAATACCTCAGCCGGTTCTACAGTTGCAACAAAGATTTCCCAGCTAGCACCGACAGCTGCTGCTGGTTCTCATTTTCAAGCCTCAGTAGTAAAAAACACTGTTGTCCTCCCATCGCTCAGTAGTTCTGGTGTTCCCCAACTGCTCACACAAGATTTCATGAACAAGACTGGTGTCAAACGAGCCAGTACAGATGAGAGATCCCAAGTGACTAAATTCATCCTGGTGAGTCCACCTTCTTCCTCTGCCTTAGCCAAAGGCACACCCTCTCCCACCAAGTCAGTTCCCAGTTCCAGAGTCATGTTCATCAGTCAGCCCACAGCGACATCGTCCACCACCTTCATGGGAAGCATTCCAAAGCAGGCGATGGCAACGGGCGCCGGTGGACAGGCGCCGACCACCTCGTTATCGAGTCAGACTGTGAAGATGGGATTAAGCCCAGGCCAGACTGTTGGCAGTGTCAGCTCAGAGGTGTTGTCCAAGGCCAAAAACATCACTCTGCCCTCAGGTGGGTGTGTTTGATGTCATCTTTTACTGGAATTCCTTTAATCTTTCTCCCTATCCTGTGTGTGATCCACTTTAAACTGCGCAATTAGGGCATAATTTTTACAGGTTGGCTTTATTGTGTAGGAGGAGAAAAGTGGAGCTGCTTTTTGATGATACAGTGTTCTATTTCGGCATTAAAGTAAATCAAAAGTGGAGTATGAAATCCTAATTCAATAGACATTTTGTCAGATCCAGACCATAGTGTGAACACTGAAAATAATACAGTTCATATGAAGAAATGTAACAATTGTGTTGTGCCACATTATATAGGAATAAAACATGCAATAATGCAGGTTATTAAATCAATAAAACCTGAAAAAAATGCAAATAAATTTGCTAAATTTGGGTGTTGGAGGCTCTGTTGGTCAGCGATGAGTATTTTTAGGGCTACAGTTTCATACCATTCACTTGTGTAAATATTGAGTAAACAAATGAGGAGGAAAACTATTTTAGGGAAGCCTACTGTGAGATAAAATAGAAAAGCTGAACTCTGATCCGGACGTGTGTTTTTGCTGGACAAACTGCAGGGATCAATAGATAGCTGACTAAATATAGTAACTTGGTAAATATCAACAATCTTTCCCGAGAATCACAGAACCAATTTTAAGAAATGGAATACATCAGGTGATAGATAATCAGTTAGTCGGGGTTTGTGTCTGACTTTAAGCTCGTGAATAATTCATTGTTTTAGGGTCTCAACTTCTGTTTGATATAAAGTATGTGTAGCCCAAGCTAGTCCTGGTTCAGCCTACAAGTGCAGGAATAAAACTAAACAAGGATTCAGTTAAAACCACAAAAAGTATTAGCTCACTGTCTCTAGTAGTTTTCCAGATGATGCTTTGTCAACGTAGACAGGTTGTCAACATACAAGGTATGTACCGATGCAGAGCCTTTTTTTTATCATGACTAAGGAGGGTCACATGTTTGCTGTTCCTTTAGTAGACCGAAGAACTCATCCTGAATATAAATATTGTATAAAAATTGTCATACCTCAAACCAACCTTATTATCAGTGTTGCGCAATTGAGTAAAATGTCTTTTCATGTGTCACCAGGGGTTCAAATCCAGTTGTCAGGGAAGACGACAACTATTGGACAGACTATTGGTGCCCTGTCACATTCTCCTTCTAAGGGCACACCAGTGTCAGTCGCAAGTCCGTGCTATCCAACAGCCTCCACCACTGGACTGGACCCAGTAACGAGTTCGATTACCACCACGACTTGCTCTCATCAGCTTTTCTCTCACGGTTCTCTGACCACTAACTCCCAGGTCCCGGGTATTCCTTCCTTCTCCACGTTCTCCCAAACAAGCTGTTCCACATCTACTGCTGCCGCTCTGCCCGCAGGCAACATGATAAAGAAGGACCTTGTGATGCCTGCAAGTATATTGTCCAACAGCTCTCCTGCTCAGGTAACAACAACCATGGAGAGCAGCCCAGCCCAAACCTCTACACCCACTCTTGATCGCCAGCCCTCATTCGTCCGAAGTGGCACTGGTGAGGAAATGACTCCCCTCTTATCTTCCTCTCAACTTGCTCGCAATAAAACCCAAACCCCCCTCTCCTCTGCACCAACCACCTGCATCCCATTCACCACCTCTGCTACTGGCACAATCCAGCAGAGAATAGTCATCAACACCTCTACGCCCCTTGCTGCTGGCACACAGATCCTCCTTAACAATGCACGCTTTGTAGTCCCTCCCCAAGGTTTGGGTCCAGGCAGCCACGTCCTTATCATCTCTAGCCCTGCACCACAACAAGTGCCTACTGCCAGTGCGACCAGCATTGGAGCATCAGTACCTCCCCAAGGGGCAAGCCATGCCACTGTAGCCCCTCGGGCACCAGTTTTACCCCAACCCCCAGCCAGGCTGCCTGGTGTGCCAGCCATAAGTTCCCCTTTTGTAGCATGCACTCCTGCCGTTCGTCCGTCTTTGCTAGCAACCACCCCCAACGTTACGCCAGTCAGACTAGCAGGAACACCTGGCCTGGGTTCAACGTTGCTACCCAGTAAAACAAATGTAGTGTCAGCTCTTCCTAGGTTACCAACCGCACAGACTGGTAACTTTGCAGTACCACCTGTAGGTACATCCTCTCTGGTCTCATCACCACCGAGGTTAGGCAGTGTACCAGCCTTAGTTTCCCCAGTGGCAACCAGTGCCCCTCCTCTCAGTTCAGCACTGGCTACAATCAGGTTAGCTGCTGGTACACCCATGCAAGCTGAATGTTCATCCACCATTTCGCCTGCAGTAGCATCCCCCTTGCCCAGATTTTCAGGACCTCTATCATCCTTACCTGTATTACCCGGACCATCAGCCGTTGCCCTGCCCAACCCTGTCATACCAGTTCCTGCCCCCCTCTCCTCATCTGCAGCTCCTGTAGTAGCAGACACACCAGCTTTGCATTGTTCTCTTCCCGCCCAGCATGTGGTTGCAGTGACAACCCTGGGCCCAGGCATACAACCCCAGCAGACAGCAGTAAGGATTGCAGCACCCTCCATTGCTCAAGCACAGGCTTTAGTGCACACAGGACTTGGCAACACATCAATCAAAAAACAGGTTCCAGTCCTGCAACCAGTGCTCGCTGGCACACGGACACAAGTATTGCCAACAGTGGCTGTCCCACCGATTGTAAGTGCAGTGTCGAGGATGCAGACACTGCCCATTGCTACTGTTCCACCGATCGGAAGCACTGTCAGCACCTTTGAAACAGCACCTGTGGGGACTGCGCCTCCATCCAGCAGCACTGTAATTATTACCCCGGCTCAACCAATCGCATCACTGAAGGCAAACAACGCCATCCACCCACCTGCCGTACTGACCAATCAAGCACTTGGAAAGCACTCTCTGCAGACCTCAGCATTGGGTCTGCACACCAATATAACATCCAAGCTGCTCATTAGTCCTGATGGTGCTGTTTTGAGCACTGTTCAGTGCCAGGCAAATCCAGCAGAGCTTACTGCCTGCCCCAAACCTCTGGATGCACTGGTGATTTCTACCAACAGTTCTACTGGAGCACTACAAACACATGATTCCTCTTTACAGCCTTCACAGACGGACACAAAGTGAACCAATTAACCAAGACTGTGCTAGCTGCGTGAGGGCTTAGACACCACTTTTCAGCATCTTAGTTTTGGCAGGGCTCATATCTGTTGCTTGTAGTAATTCTGGGGTTAGTTTAAAAAAAAAAAACTCCTTTTCCAGCTATAGTTTGAATCATAACTTACATTTAGGATGCAGTAGGTTTTACCCTCTGGTTAGAGCATCTTACATGTAAACTCTCAATCAAACATAGTGAAAATGTATACTGTGATGGTTTTCTCGAGTGGAAACTACTGAGGTTCCCCCTCAGATGAATGTTATAGACTCTTGACTTTCCTTAATTTACTTCATGGCCAGTATTTACAACTGTTACACCAAGTCAGTAAGACAGGAGGGTAGATAAAATAGATTTCAAGTCAAGCTTTTGCAGTTGATCTTTTCAATACCATTAGATATTGCTCGAAGAAGTATTAATTGGTTTACTATTCATAAATACAACTTGCTCTACTTTTTCTGTCAGAAAAAAAATGACAACCATCTGCATCCACGCTGTCATGTCCTCTTTTCAACTATTAACTGTTTGAAAACTACATTTTACGTTTTAGAACTATAAACTAATAGGTGGATTTGTACTACATGTTTGAGCCCATATAAATGTTTTGAAGTCACATTTATTTATTTTTACCATATAGATTTTTCAAAAAATATTTACTAGGTACATTTTCATTGAATAATTGTGGACGTTACTGCATGGAAATAAACAATGCGACTGTCCCGAACCAGTGTGTTTGAGCTGCTTTGTTACAATTGTGAAATTATTATTATTTTTGTTTATTGTTTAATGAAACAACCTACAGAATATAAATCGTGTTTATTCAGGTAAATAATTTTACAAAGTGAGTGATACAGTAGTTTCACCTATTGGTATATTTAACTACAAAGCATTGGGAACCATAATGACGGTGACATCAGATTACATATCATCAGGCAGCAAATCAAGTTTGTTTTCCAGTATCTTCCTTTCTTTTTGTTTTAGACAACGATCCTTCTTCTGGAGAAGTTCTTCAAGGGGAGTAAGGAGGAGGCAGTGGTCCTGAGGAAATCTTTTCATAGGCTGGAGGAGCGTTCGGAATCTGGAAAAAGTGGGACAAAAAAATCTAAATGAAACAGCTGTAATGGGATTCTACATTTTCACTGGATATCTGTTGTGCAGTACTGGAAACAAAATCGACTCCCTTACGAGTGTATCGTTACATCTAATGCAAAATGTACCCTTTTGCACACTTCATTTGTGAAAAGAGTGCTAATCTGATCCTCTTCTTTCACTTTCCTTGCACACATGGATACACATACTTTCTTTAGGAATGTGAGATTTTTGAAACCTACCCCCAGTCTGGTGACATAATAATCTCTCCTTCAGGCACTCACTGCGTGGCCTTCACGTGCTCTGTACTGTGCTCAGAACTCTGGCTTTGTTCTAAACAAGTGCCCTCTGTTTTAAACATTAGGTTGCACAGAGTTAAGAGCCTCTCAATTAGTTAATTGTTTGTTGGTGTATTTAATTTCATACATTAAGGAGTCAAAGAAAATGTTTTCCCATTTTGCATGTGTCCGACTGGTACAAATGCTTTTCCTAACATTTGAAATGTTTGACTCAGGCAAAGGGAGACAAAAGGGAAGACAAGTCAGCCACAGGTTAACTGGCTGTCCCTCACCACAGATTGAAAGCTGCCAAAGTCAGTGAGAGCCATCTTGTTGTCTGCTGAAGGTCCTGCCTCGGAGTACTGGCCTCCTGTGTAACTTGGTGAACCTGATCTGGGGCTCTGCAGGTAAAAGGAAGATGTGTGAGGGCTTGTGGGAAAACAGACATGAGAACAAAGTGATATTCAAAAAGAGGAACTTGGTGTGAAAACATACACAAAGTTGATCTTTAACAGCCTTTTTTATTTTCACATAAATATGCTGCAGTTCACTACCCCCAACAACATAGAAATAAACTCACAGCAGATCACAAGTTTGACTTGATTAGTTTGAATAATACACGAAACTCATCACTCGTAGATTGTGAAGGATGCTTCATTACAGTGAAGTGTGATGTTCTCACCCTGATTAGTCTGTAGCCGCTCCTCTTCTTGAAGTACCAGCAGCCCAGGATGAGGAGAGCTGCGAGGATGACCACCAGCAGAGCAATGCCTACAGCCCTGTGAAGCACGACACAATTCACACAGAGCCAGACAGGAAAGCAGTAGTTTAAGCCTTTGTCTATAACATTACTTTGCCATATCAGATTTGTAGTTTTCACCACAGTAGGGCTACAGATGAATAAAAAGAATACAAGCTACTATAAAGACAACTCTTTTCTCATACAGATGCATTTTAACAGTGCAGCCACTCCCCATTCAACCAAGTAGGTCTGACCAACCAGAACATATTTTCACTGATGTTGCAGTGGTTCAAAGATTTCATATTATTGTCATTGAAAAGTGCATAGACAGTGTACATACTTGTTAGATAAAGAATTTGTTCTAATTTTTTACTGTGGATTCAGTTGAAGCTCTTGTACAGACTTTTACAGACTGTAGGGATGAAATCTGCTTTAAAGATTTCAGGAAAAAAAGTGGCAAAAACTGTTAATTAGTGCAATTACTGATGCAGAATCTGCACCCAAGAGAAAGAAAGTGCAAAACAGTATGCTGGATAGACAGTGTGACGTCTCGAAATAACACAACTGTCTTACTTATCTTAAGTAATCTTAATTGTAGTTATATTATTTTTTATCAACAATCAAAAAAGAGTAACTTTAGCAACCATGGCAGGCTCTTAATCAGTTGAAGGTTACATAAAAATGCTTATTACACTGTATATGACTTCTCATGTACTTCTACGTGGCAGCTTTCCTTACATAAGCAAATGATAAGAGTGAGTCTACAGTGTTTTTCTTAGAAACGCTGTGCCACCCCAGTGTGAGTAATGGTCACAGTCTAGCCACGTCCTTAAAAATGATCCATCTCCCCCTCTCTGCAACCAACGTCTTGGGGTAGGAGTGGCAATAAGCTTCACTGCCATCCCTAGTTTTCGTATCAAATAGACACACATACTCCTCAGCTCTGACAAATCCTCTTCTGCCGCTGGCAAAGTAAATGTTGAAGTCTCCGCGAGGCATCCCGTCTGTGCAATTGCGCCTCATCAAGCTGAAAGTACACAAAAGATCAATTCAGGAACAAGCAAGTGCAATAGAAGGCGTATTTATTAATCCATATTTTGTGTCAGAGTCAGACACCAGTCGTTTTCTTTTTGTAAATTCATTACAATAAGAGTCTATAATAAATAATTTTAGCCTATCCTATGACATTAAGCCTTTTTTTAAGAGTAACACTGTGCATAGATGTACATCCAGTAAGGAGAACCTCAAACTGTCAGCAACCAAACGCAGAATTAGTTTAAATAAAACACCCCTAAAGCTGCTTTTTTACAGCCAGGTTATGTTCAAACACTCCTGAGTCATTCTTACTGGACAGGAAGATGCATAATTGTCTTCTTTCTGGATTGGTGGCCTCACTGATCAGACGTCTTTGTATTGAGTGATGCTCTCTTGCACAGCGCAGCATCGCTTCAATCCATTGCAACAGGCTGATTACCAGAACATGCTTCCATATAGCCAACATACACTTCGTTCATGAAAATCGATAGCTGCATTTAAAGATTTTGCTAGAACTGTACTACGACCTTGAATAGCGACGGCAAACCAATCAATCCTGCAAAGCGGCTCTGCTATTCTTCTCAGCAAAACACCTGTTGCCATTTCAGTAGACATATCCCTATAGAATCAATTGATGCAGCCTACAACTGCATCCATTTGTCATTTTCTGGTCAGGTATTAAAGGTCACAGTAATTCTTTGCTCAATATAAACTCTTCTAAAGTATGCCTTCAATACTACCTTTGCTAGAAAAAAACAAAACAAGGCAATTATCTTACCAAGATGGATATTAATGTGGCAGAGAACGGCTGCTCTGGTTGGAACGCCTTCCTAAAAGAGACTGAGCCTGCAGAGCTCTGTGTTATTTCACTCCTCAAGTATGTAGCCTCAGTCCGGAGGAGAGCAGAGAGGGGCAGAAAACCCCTCATGACCGTCACGGGTTAGGGACTCATGGTTAAACCCATTGAAGCGGAGTAATTACCGTGAAACCCTCCGGCCCTGAACGCAACATTATTATCCACTCGTGAAACTTTCCAGGCATCAGCTGCTGGCCTTTCAAATGAAAGAGAGAGCGGGTGTGTGTGTGAACAGGGTTTATTGTTATTTACAAATACCCGTATAGGCTTTAACACCTCCAACACAGAAAATAATACTTTTTTTTTTTTTAAAAGTACCCCAATAATGTGTTGTAGCTGCTGCAGACGGAGTTAGTTTGAACTTTATACACAGTTTTATATACAAGGACTACAGATAAATCAAAGGGGGTTTGAGATGACTCATGAGAAAGGGAAGAAGTTCTGGTACACAAGTCTGTTTTCAGATTTGGGGCTTTCTCTCTTGTCCTTGATTTTCGGTCATAGAAAAGATCATTTGTACATGTATTGATATGAAACCATGTGTATGTTTGAAGCCAAAAAGATTAAACCAGTGATTTTGGGGTCTTTTTGGCTTCTGATGTCTCGACGTCTTGTGTAAAATCTTAATCTTAACCAGTCACTACAGCTGTGAAGCAGTAAAATCATGACTGTATCATAAACAATGGCATAAAATTACCATTAATTATGTGATATCAACAACTTATAGCAGTAAATCTAGACCTTTGTTCAAGTTATTCTCTTCTGAAAGCTTTGACAGACACAGATAATGTTGTGGGGTTTTAAAAACAAGCGGTAGCAGGTCGTCTTTTCACATTTCAGAAGCTGCTAAGCAAACAAAACAAAAACTTCTCAGTTACTTTGCTGTTTCTCATGCATGCCTGTTCAAATTTTGTATTCATGGGGATTTTCTGCTGTTGTTGTTCATAAACGTACATTTAAAAGTTAGTTGCAATCCTAGACGGGGGATTTGAATCTACAAAAGTTTTCACAGAGATCCTGAAATTGAATCTTTAAAGCATCGAGTTGATGTGGGGCTGAGGCTTTTTTTTCTCTCCCTGATCATTAATAGCATTATCAATCAAGCGTAAATGGAATGTAAAAGGACATTGACTTGCAGTGTCTCAGTTATATATTGTTTGTTCTCTTCTGCCAAGCCTTTGCTGAGCTGTTGTGTTGCACAGACAGTTAACTGAACAGGATGTTATATTTCATTTAATTTGATCCATTCTTTTTAACATAGGGGAATAAAACAGGGCATTTTCCAAACATCTCCACAACTGAATGCATGTCAGTAAAACAGTGAACTATGCACTTTGTTGGAAATGATAACAGGCAGATCAAGAGTGGGGTCACGCTGGAGATCACAAGTCTGCAACAGGTCAACCTATGGAATTAATGGGGTTGTCGATATGGGCTCGTGGAATGTTGTTCCTCTCTTCCTGAGGGGCTCATTTGGGAGACATGATCACATTGTTAGACACAGCTGATTTCTCTGACAACAATTTCTGGAGATGGGACCAGGATCCCGTCATGCCTGTGGCCCCGGGGCGTTGCGTCCTTTCAATAAAGCTGCATTTGAAGGTGGCCTTTCATGGTCAAAGGAGTGTCTTTGTACTGGTCTCAGCTATTGTCCTCTAAAGCCACACCTGACTGGGTCGTGGATTAACTCGACAGCTCCGAAACTTTTTTTTTTCAACATTTTTACCCATTTCTAACCAAAAATGCTCAACTTTCTTTAAAAAAATAATAATGTGCATAGCATTTTTGCTTAGTCGCACAATCTGAAAGCTGGAAAAGGAAAGAAGAAGTTAGCAGTTTGCATTACTCTGCAAAAACCTACATTTTACTCCACAAGAGGGAGACCAAAACCAGCTTATTAAAAATGAGACAGTGTTTATGTGTCTCAAGCCGAAGTTTGATTTTTATGTTGGCTTATTAGAAGCTATGAATGAATGTTTTTTTAGTGGACCCTGAGCTCCTGCAGCCCTAATTAGTTTGTAATATGGGTGAAAAAGCCTGTATGAGCGGAGGGAGACTGCTGCAGCTCTGGACAGGGCATGGTTAAGTTTTTCAGTGGGAGGAAGTCAGCTGACTGGCTGACTGTTCATGTGTTTGTTGTGATGACAAGTCTGCATCACCTGTCAGTGGAATAGATTTGTATAAAAAAAATAAAAAGTGGACGTCATCTGATCTGGAAAACCACATTTAAATTTACATGAGAGAAATAAATGCAGTTAGTGCAGCATAATGTGGTGACAAAGTGTAGTTGTGTTAACAGAAGAACAGGATTTTTATTATGATGTATTTTTTTGAAAAGCTCATAATAAAGGTTGGTAGCATCTCCACATGAGGGAGCTTTTAATGACTCCTCTCATTTTGAAGGTGAGAGATGGGAAGACTGCCAATGGATCCCCCCTTTTTCCTTTCATCCCCCTATTGTTGTCCTCTCCCCCCCTAAAAAAAAAAAAAAAAAAAAGAGCTGGTACCCTCAGACCTCCAGTAAAGCGGCTGTAAACGGCTGATCTCGCCCCCTCCAAGAAGATCGCGGTTAGGACAGAAGCCCCCCCGGTAGTCCCGTCGGTCGTGTCGTCGCTGTTCCTCGGAGGAGCTGTTTGAACGGTGGGACGGAGAGGGAGCTAGAGACTCTTCTCCGGCTCCAGCTGCCATCCTACTCCTGCTCCTCCCCCTCCTCCTCCTCCTCCTCCTCCTCCTCCACCACCACCACCTCCTCCTCCACCAGAACCACTTCTCTTTCTCATCACATCCAGAGGTAAATAAGATAGATCCAACAGCAACAGCCTCCTTTCCCGGCCAGATTTGTTTACCTCCCTGCGCCCATTCAGACAGCCGCTGGGAACCATTATCGGAACCAGCCAAAGGGGGTAATTCTGATTTGTGATGGGGTCTTTTTTTTTTTTTTGCTTTGTACCCCCTGCCTCCTTGGCGTCGGGTCGGGGTTACGCTTCCTTAGGCAAGTCCGAGGTCCACTTTGTGAGCTTGGAGATGCATCCGTGAAGGCCAATGCGAGTGTGAGGTTAAAATCCGAGCCGATACGCGACCTATGTGGCAAAAAAAGAGCGACACAGAGTGAGCAAGCCTCGGCTAACTGGCTTTGATGCACTCCTGGTGATGCTAGCTAAGGCAAGTTACAGATAAGGCTATACCTAGCCAGTTAGCATACATTAGCCGCATCTCCAGTTGTTGCTAGCCGGCTAACAGCGAGTTCATTTTAGTCACTTTCACAGACGTCGCTGCGCTGCTTTTCTCCCTAGCAAGCGTCGAAACCGGCGAAATAATAACGACAGAGTAATAATATAGTCACAACTGTTGTCAAAACGAGCTAACGTGGCTGTTACGAGTTCGGACAATCCCGGGGAATCTTAACCGACACTGTTAACAAAAGAAGAATTTGAGACACAACTAGCTAACAGTAAGAAGGTTTTGTGTGTTGTCTTTGGCTTGTGTTTGGTGTGTTTCGGCTAAAACGAGCGTAAAAGCCGAGGCAAGCCATCTTTCGAGGGCTAGAGATGCGAGAGACACACAAACACACACAGACAGAATCGTTTCAACTTTTTATCAGTAATCATATCAGGGTTTTGTCACCACCCGGCTGTGCTGCCAGTGCACGACCTGCTGCCTTCCTATGATGGCAGCTAACATTGTTCATTGCTTGTGTGTTTTTGCTTTTTATTTGAAAGCCTTGGTCAGATCGCAGCTAAAATGCATGCACTGAAGGTGTGTATTTACAGAGGACCAGGGGAGGAGGAGGAGGAGGAAGGGGGGAACCAGGAAACAAGATGGGTTTCTCACCAGAACCTTCAATCAATAACTGATACAGGCATGCCCAGGCTTGCTGTAGGGCCTGTACACACTGTCAGAGGTCCAGCTATAATAATGCCCACTCATGAGCTGACACACTTTTGAATCCCCCCCACCCACTTCAGAGGATGCACACTCTGGATCTACTTCTTAATCCTGATAGTATTGGGGATGAGCGAACGTGCTTTACGAATGCTTTCTTACCACTTTTCTGTCTTTGCAGCACTTTGGAGATGTGACGAACGGGAAGAGATTGGTGATATTGAGCAGCCTGTGCATTCACGCGACCCCTTGACCTCATCTTCAGCATGAATGGTGATATGCCTCATGTTCCCATCACTACTCTTGCTGGAATTGCTAGCCTAACAGACTGTAAGTACAACTTTATCTTTTTATTTCTTCAGTCGAAACACCGACATTCAGGCTAAGATGTGGCTAAACTTTGGATTGCTTGATTGCCAAACAGGTCAAAATTTACTCCTAGTTGGGCTGAAAGATTTTGGGAAAATTGTGATAGATATTGTGGCGGCGAGGCTCCAGCCCCCTGCGACCCTATTGAGGATGAAGTATAGATAATGGATGGATGGATGGATGGATACTGTGGCAGCGATTTCATTTTCGATAACCTTTTTTTAACATTTAATCTTCAGTTTGATGTTTATTACAAATCCATAGAACTACCACACAAAACACGACCGCCACACAGTTTGTGAAACCACTGACGCAACAGTTTAAACCCTGCGTCAAGCATGCTACATACTCTCAAGTGCAACCTTTGCAATTTTCCTGGTTGCAAATAGGGATTTGAAATCAATTAACTGCTCAGCCCAAGCACGTAGCCACACCAGAAGCTACATGCTAGTAATTGTAATGCTTCTCACAGCTGATGATTTCAGGATGGACAGAGGTGAAATGGCTTATGTTTCTATGGACGGGACCAGACTTTCAATTTAAAAAAATAACAAAAGAACACATACTAAAGCAGTGGAGCGTTATGCATATCACATAGGTGTGATTTATTGTAAAAATATTGGATTTAATGGCATTAGATTGTAGAAGTGTACCTTATATAGCGGCACCTTGATAAATGTTGAGCTTAATGGACTTTCTTCACTCTGATGTGAAGGATTTTTGTGGATTTGTTGGATCCATAGACGGCATGTTTATCACACTGTTATGGCTTCTTTTTT